AATAAATATTTGTTGAAATCTAATAATCTAAGACAAATAAATCTTTTTAGAATCCTTAATATAAATCTATTATGCTCTTTTTTAAAATATTTTATAATATTATTTTTAATTGTATTTTTTATAGGAATTGATATATTTAAATTTAAAAGTTTTACTATTTGCTAAAAAGATCTAATATCAGAAGTTGTAAATAATTGTTTGTCTAAAACTATCTATTTAATTAGAAATTTATAAAATATTTCTTATATAAATTAATTTAATATAACTTTTAATATTTATAGATTAAGATTAAGATAAAGTTGCTTAATATAATACTAAAGATTTGTTGTATAAAAATTGTCAATTCTACAAAATTATATTTTTAAACAATAAAAATATAAAACTTTATAATAAGTTGATACTTGTAAATATTCTAGTAAAAGTTTTTTTCTAAATAAACCTTCAGAAAAAATCTATATTATCTATATTAAAATAATTATATTAATATTGGTTGTTATAAAAGTAAGTGATTAAGATTTAACTATATTAAAAATACTAAGATTAGGTTTAATTTGAGTTGATTTAGTTAATGATATTATTAACAAAAGGTTGTTTAATTTTAAATAAAAGAATAATAAAATAAAAAAAGTTATTTAAATATTTATTGATTCAAGTTGATATAATTTGATTTAAATCAAAAAAATTATTTAAATTTTATTAATTTATTTTATTTAAATTAAAAAAATTATTTAAATTTTATTAATTTATTTTATTTAAATCAAAAAATTATTTAAATTTTATTGATTTATTTGATTCAAATTAATGCAGATAACTTTGAGTTTAGGTGTTTAATTGAACTAAATTAACCTTTTTAAAATACTACTCAAAATATTTTAAATCAAAAATATGAAAATATTATCTACAAATTGTTAACTACACAAAATATTATGACTATAATATTTTGTATAACTAATAATTTGTAGATTACTCAATTATTAACAAAAGCCAACTCTCTTTAATGATTACTTAAACTAAACTTTTAGTTAACAAAAATAAAAACTTGTTAAAGAAGATAGAAGAGACAACTATAAGTAGCAGTTTTTACAAAGATCAAATACTTCAGGTTTTCTTTCAGACTCCTCTGTATATTTGGCAAGTAAGTTAAAAGTGTTCTTATACAAGATAATTGGCAAGAAGGTGGTACTCTTGTATAAAAAATTTTAATAGAAGCATAGCTTCTGTTGATGAAGTAAAAATAGTTGTCTAAAGAAAACAGAACAACAAGCGAGTTTTAACACACTCTCTATTGAAGTTTAAGGCTACCCACAAACCAAACTCCTCTTTACCACTTCACTCACTGGGCTTTATGAAATTTTAACAAAAAATAAAAAATTTGGTATACCACTATCAAAGGATCGATACCAATAATCACTACTAGAAAAAAAAAGACATGTATATATGTATATGTTTATTTTTAGATAAAAGTTTACTCGACCTTCTGCCTCTCTGGGGTCATGACAAGAGTCTCAACTCAGTAAAGCTTATGGGGTGTAATAGGAAGGCTATATTCGAGTAGTATTGTAGAAGTTTTGAGGAGGATAAATTGGAACAGACTAAAAATTTCGAACTTGGATCTTTACTCAAGAATGAATAGTTTTTTTCATGTTTAATATCCTAGATATAGATATAAATAACTAGTATAGGGCTTAACTAGATTATTTAGTAGTACAATATAATTTTACAATCTAGTATGGGTTTAATAGTGCTATCTTTGTTTTCTTTTCTTTTATTTTATTTTTCTTTTTTTTGTTATTTGTTTTTGGTTTATTTGTTTAAATAGATTGAATTTGAATATTGTAGTATTACTTTTTTTTTTTTTTTGCCTTTTGATTCTTGTATTGGTCTCTTCATTTTTATAAAAAAAAAGATGATACTAATATGGTATAAAACACTAGGTAATAATCGAAGGGTTCATTCTTCTAGTAGGTTAGAGATCTGAAGATAAGCAAAATATTATTAGGCAATATCACACCTGGCTTTTTAAGTTAAGTAAGTCACTTGTTGTAGTTAATAGATAGTAATTTTAGTTAAAATTTGTGTAATTTTGCTTGGTTTATATTTCAATAAAATAGTGACAGAACATGCTGAAAAAAAATTTTGTAGATTACTATTTTATATCTTTGATTCTAAATATTCTAAAATTTACTAATTTTTGTAAAAAATAAAAAAATAATCAAAAAAATTAAAAATAATTTTACAAAAATAAATTTAAAAAAAATTTAATAGAAAAGGTTTAAGAAATAAATTATAACTATGAATTGTTTTATAGATTTTCCCTAACTATTATTTGTTCTATCTATATTGGTGATTAAAAATGATAGAGTAGAAAAAAAATAATTATATTATATTATTTTGTGCAATTCTAGACATATTTTATTGTTTTTTTTAATTTGTTTATAAATGGTATTTTTATTTAATATTCAAAATTTAAATAAATTTTCTTATTGTCAATACAAAGATAATTAAGTATATAATATAAAACATGTAATATATGACTTTTGTATATTTTTGATAATGATTAGATAGCATTTTGTGTATTATGTAAATTTCATTGTTATTTTTGCATTTCTGTACAATGTTGAAATTTTTGAAAACAAAGTTACAAAAGAAAAAAAACAAAAAATCTCAACTAAAAAAGCCCAAATCCTATTTGCACTATAAGAAGGATATTCTACAAGGACAGTAGGCCAGATCTTTAAAATTAGTTCCTCTACAGTGTTTTATATTAATTAAAAGTAATTAGAAACCCATATACTTGAAGATTTAGCAAGGGTTGATTGCCTACTTGCAGTAAATAAACTAACCCAAAGAAGAATTGTAAATTTAATTACCTTCTACAGGTATTTAAGTGCTATTGAAGTTTGCTCCCACCTTAAAAAACAAGAGAGTATTGAAATTTTGATATCTACTATTCAGCATATACTTAAAAACTATGATTTAGTATCAGAAGTTAAAAAAAAAAACTTTACCTAAGTGAAAATTACTAAAAACATCAGTTAGAATTTGCAAAAAAATATAAAAATTAATCTTTTAAAGTAATTTGGTCTGATAAGTCAAAATTTAAGATTTTTGGATTAGATGGTAAGCAATACTACTAGAAGTATTCCAGTAAACCTTTAAACCGTTTCTATGTTAAATCTACAATTAAATTTGAAGGTAGATCAGTTATGATCTGGAGATGCTTTACATGATGTTGGTGGTTATTGCAAGATCAATAACAGAATGGATGCCAAACTATATTGTCAAATACTTTATGAAGATTTTATAAATATGATTAGAAATCATGGGTTTAATATTTGAGAGATCATTTTTCAACAGGATAATGATCCCAAACATAAAATTAAGATGACAATATGCTGATTTAGAAATAATCAAGTACAAGTTTTGGATGGCCTCCCCAATCTCCTGATCTCAACCCCATTGAACACTTGTGGGTTGAGATTGATTGTTAGCTTAGAATCCTTCCTGGACAAATTACAAGCAAAAAAGACCTGTGGAACAAGATCCAGATGGTCTGGCAGGAATTTAATACTAAAACCTGCACCAACCTGATCTGCACGAATTCATGATGTTATTAAAGCACGCGGGGGTATACTAGGTGATAGATGCCAAAAAGCATAAAGATGAAAAAAAAATTTTTTTTTATATATAAACAAATTTTTTTTTGTTTTATTTTTGTGTTGCATTAGATACGTGCAAAAGTAATGCAGCACGTCAATTAGAATAAAGCACGTGTTCCCGAAAAATTTGGATCATTAATTTTTTTTAAATTTTTTATAAATGAAAACTATGATATTCACGAACAAAACAAAAAAAAAAAAAAAAAACATCCAGAATTGCGCGAAATAATGCTATCAAACCTTTTTTTTTTTCCTGCTCCATTACTTTTGATCGCCACTGTATGTAAATTTGGGATCGTAACTTATGAATTATACATATAATTAGCTTTAAAGTTATGTTGCTAAATTCTTAATTTATATATGAGTGCTGCCAAGGGAAGACCAGACTTCACGAATTTAAGTTCATTTGCTAGATTCAGCCCTGATCCGATGTGTAGTTAAAATGAGTGCCGCAAAGAAATCAAACTTTGGGCTTTCAAATATTTTTGAAAGCCCGAAACCTTTGCAGCTCTCATTTAATTACGTATCTGCATATCTCGGATCAGGGCTGAATCTAGCAAATAAACTTAAATTCACGAAGTCTGGTTTTCCATTGGCAGCGCTCATATTCATCACCCGTTTTTTTTTAATTACGTGGCAAAAAACATTTGCCATCCCTAGTCCAGCACCAACATTGGTTATTGAAATCATAAATTACTTGATCATTAACACCACGTTTTAAAAAACGTGCACCAGCAAAAAATTTTGATCTTCGAGCAATCAATGTCACAAAGATGTTCCGCCCAAATATCGAAATTTCTAAAAAATTATATAAACTTAATATTCCTTTTCATGAACGATTATATTTTATTAGCTAAAGCAAGCATACTTGATTGATCCACAAAGCCATGAATTATCGGTAAAATCCAATCAGAATTGTTCATTAAACTTCGAAATCCATTTTCCAATAAATAGTGATTCCAAACAAACATTTCGTTATATGAAAAATTCCTACGATTTGATGGACGAGTCATGTTATGTTGAAGTGTATGGGTAATATCATAAGTGTAGCTGAAATAAAAGTTCTTTGTCAAATCCACAATGTTGAATATATTGTAGTATCTAATAAGTATTATTAGGAAATTGACAATATTAGCGCATATTATATATATACCACGGGTAGAACAATAAATCCTTTTTACAAGTATTCTTTCAAAACCTTTGGTGTGATATGCAACTTTCCAAATATTTTAGTATCACTTTCGTATGTAATTTGAAAGGTTGCATGTCACACCAAAAATTATTGAAAAGGTTTATTGTTCTACCTGTGCACTTAATGAATTAGCACTATGATAGCATTGATTACTTGTATTCATCAGAATTTTTTTCGAGTTTTGCCTGTGGTCCGATTGGACGAAGAATTGTCTCATCAATATGATATATATAATGCCCGCCAATTAAAGCAACAGGACTTCTTTTGGTGATCAGTGAGATGTAAAAGCCATCAGTAAATTGAATAAATCCTATAAAAGATAATGAAATACTTTTCAACAAATTTCATTCTATTATTGTAATAAACCATTTCTTATCATAGTGTAAAACTCACCCACAATCCCATAAGCGGTCACAATGTTTTTAAGTCCACCCGAAATTCTGTTGCCTTCTTCAAGAAGAGTCAAAATGTCATTTATTTCTTGTTTCGAATATATCACATCATCTTCAATTACATTAAGTTCAGTAGGCGTCGTTCGATCAATCTTTAATATACGAAACCGATTGTCACTTTGGTTGGATCCTACTATGTAATAATTCTATTATTATCCAATATTATTATCCAATTAAGAATTTTTCAAAAAATAGTCATTAATTAAATGTTTTTTCTAAGCAAAGAACATAAATTATAATAGCAATTTTTACCGTTTTTGTTTCATATAATATAAATTTATTTAGCACCAATCGATCAGAGTTGTTGTTATACATGGGTGTCGAAAATATTTGTTCTTTGCGTAAATTTAAATGGCGAAAAATGATCTGACAGTCAAATCGCAAATAATTTAATATGCCTAAAATATTTTAGTATGCTGGAAATATCGAAAATATAAGCTGGGTGTTGAGAAAAGGGACCAAATAAACAAAAAAAT